TGTGTCTTATTTACCCTTTTGACTTCTCACACTAGGGAGACAATATGATGTTTAAACATGTGCATCTGGTTTGTTTCACTCATAAGCATGGTCTTGAGTTCATCTATTTACCTGCAAGTGTCTAGTGTACCTTCTTTATGGCTGAATAGTACTCCATTGTAAAAGAGCAGATCTTTTTAATCTATTCCTTAGCTGATGGGCATGTTTATAGCAGCACAAATTGTGTGTACATAACATCACTGCAATACAATGTTTTTAATGCTTTTGAAAAGATACCCGGAAGGGGAATAGCTGGTTCAAATGGGACCTCCAATCCTAATTTTTTGAGGAATCTCTACACTGATTTCCACAGTGGATGTACCAGTCCACACTCTCACCAATGTGGAGAAGGGTTCCTTTTTCCTCACAGCCCCTGTAGTATTTGGTAATAGGTTGATTTCTTGATGTTAGCCATTCTTTCTGGGGTGAGATGGAATCTCAGTGTTGTTTTAATTTTCATCTCTCAAATGACCAGTGATATTGAACATTTTTTCATATATTTATTTGCTGTATTTCTTCACCTGAGAAATGTGTATTCATCTCACATGCCTACTTATGGATTGGCTCTTTAAATTTGGAAGGACTAATTTTTTTGAGTTCTTTATATGTTCTCAATGGTAATTCTTTGTCTGAAGAACAGTTGGTTTCCCACATTTTGGGAAAAACCACTGTTGGTGGTTTCTCTTGCTGTGCAAAAGCTTTTTAATAAGATGAGATTCCAACTATTGATTCTTTGTGGTAGTTCCTACACAGCTGGGGTTTTATTCGTAAAGTTTTTGCCTATACCAGTGTCTTCGAGTTTTACCTATTCCATGTTCCAGCAGATTTAATATTTCTGTTTTAATATTAAGCTCTTTGATACATTTAGACTTTAGTGCATGGTGAAAGATATGGGTCCAGATTTAATCTTTCACATGTGCAGAGCCAGTTTTTCCCAGCATTATCCCCCCCGCCAGCATCAGTAAAGAAGTTATGATCCTTTTGCTGAGTATGTTTGGCACTTTTGTAAAAGATAAGGTGGCTCAGTGTGTCTGGAGTTGTTTCTGCATTTTTCTAAGCGATCTTCAGGAGTTTTGTTTTTTTGCCAATATCACACTATTTTTAATCAAAGTAGCTTTGTAGTATAATTGCAAGTTAGGGATTGTGATGTCACGTGCCTCATCTCTGTTGCTCAGAATTGCCTTTGCTATTCTAGGTTTCTTTTGGTTCCAAATGAATTTTAGGATTGTTTTCTCTAAGTCTGTGAGATATGCTATTAGAATTTTGATCAGAATTGCATTAAGTCTTCATAGAAGTTTTACAAGTATGGCTCTTTTTAGTATACTGGTTTCTTTTACCCAAGAACAAGGGATGTCCTTCTATTTTCTGGTATTTTCTTCAATCCCCCTTGTGAGTGTAGTTGTCAATATAGAGGTCTTTTACATACTTTGTTAGATTGATTTCTAAGTATTTCATTTTTTTGAGTGCTACTGTGAAAGGTGCTATTTCCCTGATTTCAGTGAGTTTGTTACTTGTGTATAGGAAGGCTACTGATTTCTGAGTGTTGACTTTCTGTCTAGCTATGCTAATGAATTTGCTTATTAAGTCTAGAAGTTTTAGTGGAGCTTTTGGGGGTCTTGTATGTAGAGTACCATGTCATCTGTGAATAATGATAATTTAACTTATTCCTTTCTTATCATTATTCCTTTTCTTTATTTCTCTTGTTTAACTGCTCTGGCTAAAGTTTCCAGGAATATGTTAAATAAAAGTGGAGACAGTTGACATCCTTGCATTGCTCCTGATTTTAGAGAAAGCTTTTAGTTTTTGTCCATTTGGTATGATGTTGGCTGCTGCCATAGATGGCTTTTATCAGACTGAGATAAAGACCATCTATTCAAATTTTCTGTAGGGTTATCATGAATGGGTGCTGGACTTTGCTAAACTCTTTCTGCATCATCTATTGAGATGATCATATGATTTCTGTCCTTGATTCTGTTAATATGGTGTGTTACGTTTATGGGTCTACATAGGTTGAGCCATCTCTGCATCCGTGGGATGAATCCTACTTGGTTACAGTGTATAATCTTCTTGAGGATTTACTGTACTGTTACCAGTATCTTACGGAGGATTTTTGTATCTATGCTCATTAGGGAGACTGGCTTGTAGTTCTCTTTCTTAGTTGAGTCCTTCTCCAGTTTTGGTATCAAGGTAATGCTTGCTTCCAGGAATGCATTTGGGAGTAAAACTTCCCTTTTAGTTTCACTGAAGAGTTTGAGAATGGTACTAGGTCTTCTGTAAAGTTCTCATTGAATTCCACAGTAAATCCATCAGAGCCTGGGCTTTTCTTTGTTGGTGTTTTTAATTATATCTTCAATTTCACTGGTTGATATAGGTTTATTTAATATTTTTATATCTTCTTGACAGCTTTCATAATTGATATTTATCTAGGAATCTGTCCATTTCTTCTACATTTGCCATCTTATTAGAATGCAAGTTTTCAAAGTTGGTATGGATGATCTGGATTCCTACAGGATCTGTTTTAATTTTGTCTTTTGTAGTCCTAATTATGTGAATTTGAGTCTTTTCTTTTGATAAGGTTGGATAAGGGTTTGTCAATTTTATTTAATCTTTCAAAGAACCAACTCTGATTCACTGATTCTTTGTATTACTGTTTTAGTCTCCAATGTGTTAATTTCTGCTCTGATCTTTATAATTTCCACCTTCGTGAGTGTTCTGGCTTAGCCTGCTCTTTTTCTAGAAGTTTGAGGTTCACTATTATGTTGTCTATTTGTACTTGCTATGTTTTCCTGATACAGGTATTTACTGGTATAAATTTCCCTCTTAGGTCTGCTTGCATTGTGTCCCATATGTGTTAGTATGTTATACTGTCATTATTATTTAATTGTAAAAACTAATTTTTTTAATATTTAAAGAAAAAACAGTAGAAGGGTACAATTACAGAATTAAAAAAAAGAAATCACTAGTTAATAGATTACATATTGTCATCTTAGAAATAGTTGATCAAGTTACAAAATTAAGCATACAAAGTAGACATTCAAACAGTGAGAATGCAAACTGTTGTGTTCAATTTTTTTAAGTTTTTTTTTGGTACCGGGGATCAAACTCACAACCATGCACTTGCAAGGCAGGCGCTTATGCTGCTGAGCTAAATCCCCAGCTTAATTTCTTAATTTTCATCTGTGATGCACTGGTTGTTCAGGAGGGTACTATTTAATTTCCATGTTTATGAAGTTCTTGCAGTTTCTTTTGCCACTGATTTCCAATTTCATTGCACTATGGTCTATTTCAATTCAGCTAGTGTGCGGTATATTTGGTAGAACATTCTGTGTGCAGCTAAGAAGAATGTGTATTCTAATGTTGTAGGGTGGAATGCTCTGTAGTCATCTACTAAGTCCATTTGTTCAAATTTGGTTTACTTGTAATATTTATGTACCTGATTTGAGTTTTTGTGACAGTGGGGTATTGAGATCCTCCAATACAACTGTATTAGTGCTTATTTGAATTTTTATGTCCATTAGCATTTGTTTTATATATCTGGGTATGCTGATATTTGGTGCACATATACTTATGACTGTTATGTCTTCCTCTTGGATTAGGATGTAGTGAGACCTTTTTTTTCCGCTCTTAATCAATCGTGAGTTGAAATTTACTTCCTCTACTAATGAAATAGCTACTCTTGCTTTGTTCTGTGTTCCTGCTGCATGGAGTATTATTTTGAATTTTTAAAAACTATTTTAGCCATTTTTTGTATACAAGTGCAGATACATATGTTGTTTCTTTTAGCTTCTCACGATGAGACAATAAGATGCTTACATGTGTGTCTTATTTATTTCACAAATGAGTATGGTCTCAAGTGGTATCCATTTATCTATAAAAGTCTCCAGTTTATCCTTTATGGCTGAGTAATACTCCACTGTATAAAAATACCACATCTTGTTAATCCATTCTCTAGTTGATGGGTATTTAGGTTGTTTCTAAGATCTGGCTATTACAAATTGTGCTGCTATAAACATGGGTGCACATGTATCGCTGTGGTATGACATTTTTAATTCTTTTGGGAAGATACTTAGAAGGGGGATAGCTGGGTCAAGTGGGACCCTCTATTCCTAGTTTTTGAGGAATCTCCACACTAATTCCCAAAGTGGTTGCACCAGTTTACACTCCCACCAACAGTGGAGAAAGGCCCCCCCCTCCCCCCCGCCAGCTCCTCCAGCATTTGTTATTGGTTGATTTCTTGATGTTACCCATTCTTTCAAAGGTGAGGTAGAATCTCAGTGCTGTTGCATCTCTCAAATGACCAGTGATGTTGAACATTTTTTCATATATTTATTTGCTGTTTGTATTTGAATTTTTTTAATTAAATGTGTTTCTTGTATGCAGCTATTGTAGGATTCTTGATCCATTCTGCCAGTCTGTATTTTTGATTAGTGAACTGAGATCATTAACATTGATGCTTTTAACTGATATGTACTGACTTGTCCTTGTCATGTTATTTTTCTGTTATGGGCTCCCCCTCTTTTTTCTTTTCCCACCCTCTGTTTAATTGTTTGTCTTGCCTAGTGGGTTCCTTTTGTTGGGGTTCATGGAGTTGGAGTCCTTTTAATCTCTTTCTAGAATGTCCTTCAAAACATTTTGGTGTTGGTCTTGTGGTTATAAATTTCCTTAGATATTCTTTGTCATGGAAGTATCTTATTTCTCCATCAATTTTGAAAGATAGTTTTGCAGGGTACATCAGTCTGGATTGAAGGCTGTTTCTTTTAGAACTTGAAATACTTTACTTCAACCTCTCCTTGACTGGAGGGTTTGTGCTGAGAAGCTAGCTGTGATTTTGATGGGCTTTCCTTTATAGGTGATGTGTTTCTTTTCCCTAAGAGCTTTTATGATTCTATGCTTGTGCTGAATTTCTGGAATCTTGACTATGATATGACTGGCTGTAGATTTTTTTTTTTTAATCATGGAGGTTTTTTTTTTTTTTTTTTTTTTTAATCTCATTGGAGTTCTGTATTTCTCATTTATCTGTATGTCAAATTCTTTTTCTTTCCAGGGAAGTTTTCTGCCATGATATCTGAACAGTTTTTTTTTATGTCACTTGTGCTATCTCTTCCTCTTTCTTCATTGCCTCCAATCAATTTTAAGTTATACTTTGCCTCATGTAGCAGCTGCAGGATTGATTTTTCATGGTTCCTTGCTATTTTAAAGAAATGTTTCATGATTGCTAACTGTAAACCTGTCCTCTATACCTGAGATCCTGTCCTCACAATCTGCTGTGAATACTTTCAACAGAATTTTTATTCTCGTAGATACCTGCTTGAATCTGCATTATAGATTTGCATTTCTTTTCTATGCTAACCGTTCACGGCTCTCATAATTTTCTTAAAGTTGTCTATATTTTGGTCTGTATTTGCTCTAGAGTCACTAAGCATGGTCTCATTGTGGGTACCATCTCTGTAGTAACTGAGAAATTACTTCTGATTTGATTTTTTTCCCCAGAGCCTCATTCAATTGCTTTGTTGTTACCACTGAAAGAGAGGCCAAGTGGGACTGTCCCGCCTTGCTGCCCCCTGGGTTTGCCTTTGGTGAACTGGATGTCTGGGGTTGAGTCTTGTTCAAGAGTCTTCTCATTTTACCTTTGTCTGTCTTAAAAGCTAACTCCTTCTGCGCTTCATTTCTGGCTTTTCCCTCAGAAGTAATCCATTCATTTGACAGAAATATTTTACTGAAACTTGTTTTATTTGTTGTCTTTTTGAGACAGAGTCTACTATGCAGTTTAGGCTGGCCTTGAGCTCACTTTGTAACTCAGGTTGATCTCAAAAGCAAGGATCCTCTTCTTGCCTTAGCCTCTCCAGTGCTGGCGTAATAGGCACGGGCCACCACACCCAGCAAGAACTACATTTAAAAAGAACACTGAGGGTTGGGGTTTAGCGCAGTGCCTCAAGCACTTGTCTGGTAAATGCAAGGTCATGAGTTTGATCCCTGGTACCAAAAACAACAACAAAACCCAAGGTAAGTGGTTTAAAAAAGAGAGCAACATCAATCAAATTATTGAGATAATCCAGAGAGGGAGGATTAGAGTGTGCCACTTTAGGACAAAAGATGCTCAGAAGACTGGACTATAGGCAGGGCTTCAGGCTTTCTGTCTGATATCTACAGTGCTGTGTATGCTATAACAGAATGAAATTTTGTAAGTGGTGGCTAATAGAGACCAACAAACAAGATAAAGTAAGACACAATAAAAAACCATGCTGAAACTGAGCACTGGGCAAGTCAACATCCACCAAATGGACAGAGAAAAGAGAACAGCAGGGAGGGTCACGAAGTGGCACAATCACGGCAAAAGCTACATGGCTCAGGGGCAGGAAGGCAGGAGACAGGATGAGAAGGTCAGTGTGAGCCACTGTGGGGCAGGCAGGGAACCTAACACACTGGGAATCCTAACACACAAGCGCCCAGGGACCTCTGAGCTGCAGAAAAACTTCTGATGGATGGGTAAACTTCATTTGCTAAATTAAGTAAAATTCAAGAAATGTAGTTATTTGTTTAAAACTAGTTATTTCTAGTGGTAAAATACAAGCCACTGTTATTAAATATCAACAGATGGAAGCATTCTAGGGGTAAAGGACAGCATAAATCGTATTAGTTTGCATCTCTTTGAGGAGAATGTTATTGCACCTTTAATTGTTGTAAGCCAAGAGCACACAGGAACAGCTTTGGTCTTAGCTGCTTACAGTCATCTCAATTAAGTTCTGATTATGGCTAATCCTTTTCGTGTGAAGTCTAACTGTGATTTCAAACGTGAAAGATTACAATACGATCTGGCACTGAAAGTTTGTTAGAAAAAAAGTATAGAAACAATTGTGTAATGTATGATAAAAATCACTGCCAAGGTCTGAACAGAGCTTGGTCTAAAATGGGGGGAAAAATGAAAGTGATAACAAAGCACTGCTTCATAGTTTAATTGGCAGCATCATCCAGTCTTCCCCTTGGTGGGATAAAAGAGCAGAGCTTTTTTCTTATCAATATTGTGGGAAGCTGGGAGTGGCGTATGTTTATGATCCCAGCAACTTGGGAGGCTAAAATGGGAGGATGTGAGTCTGAGGCCACCCTGGGTAATTTAGTGATGCTGTTTCAAAAAAAATTAAACAAATAAATAAATGAAAACAAAATAAGGAAGAAAAGGGCTGGGGATGCGGCTCAATGGCAGAGCACTTGTCTGTCACTGTGAGTGAGGCCCCGGGTTCAGTCCCTAGTGGGTGGGGAGATGAAACAGGGAAGCTCCCTCATGAGATTTAGTTCCTGTAGGCTGCAGTCAGCATATGGCCGCTCTGTGTAAAATGTGGGGGTGGGACTGTATGGGTCATCTGTACCCCACACTCCTCCCAAGAGCCTCAGCTCACTAGAGTCGGGGCAGGACACTCTTAGCAGTTGTCAGTGGCAACTCAAAAGAGCAAAGGCTTCCTTTCTCCAGGTAGTTACCATGTCTGCAGAAATCAGGTATCTCAACATCGCTGCTATGTCCTGAAACTTACTCCTGAGTATTCAAAGGCTACAAAGCAGACACTCGCCTTCTGTTTCATCTTTTTTTTTTCTCTCCCCTGCCAGAGCATACATTAGATGCCCTTCCTGTTTATTGCTCAGTTGTAAAGCTTTCCAGGGCATATTTAATGTTTTTAGAAGCTTTTGAATTTTTCCTCCAGTAAATTCCTTTTCTGACACTCTGGAACACTTCTACATTCCTTTAATATAATTGCTCTTGATAATGAAATAGAAGGAGATGAGGCAGGAAAGGAGAGAAGGAGAAAATAACTCTTAGACGCTGTAAGTAATTCAAACTCCAGGTGGAACATAAACTCCTTAGTGCCTCCTCCACAACGCTAAGAACATCAATGATTTCTCTTTCTGGTGTATATCATTCCAAAATGTCTCCATTTCTATAGGAATGTATTTAGGCATCTATATGGAGGTAGCCATTGATTTCCTTGCCAGTGACATCTTGGATAACAAAGAATACTGCTAGAATGAAATTTTTATTTATAGATATGCTTTATTAATTATTTATTTAGTCTTTTTGAGATGGGGTTCCACTATGCAGGTCAGGCTGGCCTTAAACTCAATTTGTAGCACGGGCTGGCCTTGAACTCACAGGGATCCTCCTGCCTCAGCCTCATGAGTGTTGGAATTACTCTATGCCTGGCTATAAATATGTTTTAAAAATAGGTTTCTGTTGCTCATTTGCATAATTTCCAGAAAGCTATGTTCAAGCTTTCTGGATGGGAAAGATCCAGGTGTTTGCTTGTTTGTTTGTTGTTTTTTTGAGAAAGGGTCTTGCTATGCAGTTCAGGCTGGCCTTGAGCTTACATTGTAGCCCAGGCTAGTCTTGAACTCACAATGATCCTCCTGCCTTAGCCTCAGTGCTGCGATTACAGGCATGAGCCACCACGCCCTGGCTTGAAAGATCCAGTTTGAATGAATCAACATTTCTCTGCAACTAATATGAATTAGATACAATGCTGATCACTGAACCTCTATCTTTTAAAAAAAATTATGTAGGTTTTTACAAATTACTCAGTAATATATAAAGATTGGAATAAATTAATACAGTTCAAGAAAGCCTATGGTAATGAGCTGTTTCTTACTAACCTACTCTAATCCCAGAGGCAAGCACTGTTTATATGTTGAAGAGACAAATATGGATATATGGGGAGACACCCATAGCCCACTAGGACAGATCCCAGATGCTAAGCTTCAGATGCTCTCTTTTCCATTGTTACAGGTACCAGAATGTCTCCTGGCCTGCTTCTCTCTAAATGTGCAAACATTACGGGGGGAGTCCTTCTGTGAAAGACCTGTTAGGGGTGCATCCAGAACGCTTATGCCAGGTATAAACATATTTTTATGCAGGAAGAGTACTTGGGAAATGAGTTAATTCTCTGCTTGTAGGTCTTCCCTTAATAAAGCTTACTTTATATTTATAGTGCATAACTAGAGGTATTTATGTTCTTTTGGCATGACTTATTTTCACAATTTTTTTCATTTTTTCTATGTTTGAACAGAAACAGTATCATGTTTTTGAAATTGTCAATATGGTATGTCTTTTAAAGTTAGTACATATAGATTTAACTTTATTCTATTTTGAAGTCCCTTTCAAGTACAAAATACCAATGTAAAGTTTTTTTAATAAGATAAATGTTCTGAAATTACATTAGCTTTAACAAGATACAACTTAGGAGATAAGGTCATGGTGAACAAGGGTTACGGTACAGCATAAAAGAGAGAAAAAGTAATGAATATGTGTATGTGTTAAGGATGCAAGAACAAGGCTACTTGGTCAATAGTGGTAGAACATAGTGCAGATTTGAAAAGGATTGATCAACTGGAAAGAGACATTGCAACCTGGACTTTCTACTGTAGAAACGCTTAGTGGTTTCTTTAGAATTAATGGGCATATACACATATATGCAGATTTTATATATATTTTATGTAAAATTCATTAATTTTTCTCTCTTTTATGTTGTACCAACTAATGAAATGATGGTGTAAAATCAACGGATATTAAGCAGTGAAAGGACAATGACCACGAGACACAAGAAATAAAGCAGCCCATCCCGATGGCTGCCCTAGGTTATCTTCTGGAGAGTTTCTAGGCTACAGTGCAGGAAGAGTCCGCCAAGCTCACCACATTAAGACCAGTTGCTAGAAGTAGAAACTAAGGTGGCTGGAGTTGATGCAGTAGAGTAGTTGCTATGGCTTATGTCTAGATGTCCCTCAAAGCCTCATGCACTCATTGGTGGGGTTTCTCAAAAGTGGCTAGATATAGTATTTGTGAACATGGATTAAGGGTGTGACAACTAAATCAGTCCACTGATTGGCTTAGGGCTGTTACAGGTCTGGAGAGTAAGAAGCCTTGCTCTGGGTGTGGTTGGCACGTCCTTAAAAAGGCTTGTAGCCTAGATGAGGCGAAAGGGAGGATGCTGCTCCCTGCCTTCTCCTTGTCCCGCCATGAACAGTTTCTCTCTCTGTGATGGCTCTCTGCCATGCCACCCTAACTTAGAGCCAGCCAACTCTAGACTGAAACCTCTATAAACTATGAACTGAAATAAATCTTTTCTCTTTTAATTTGTGGGTGTCAGGCATCTTGTCTCAGCAATGAGTGAATAACTAAGTAACTAATAACTAAGACAGTAGTGAAAAGAAGGCTACAAAGAGGAAGAACTCTGAAAACCTATAGAGAGCCCCTCTTCAGTGATTACATAGCAGTGGACAGTGCATGTGGGTAAAGAACTGCCAGGCAGGGCCGTGGGGAAAAAGGAACCCTCCTCCACTGTTGGTGCGAGGATAAACTGGTACAATCACTGAGGAAATCAGTGTACAGATTTTGCTCGTGTGAGAAACTCATAGTGTAAATAAGGACCAAAACAGGTAACAGATATTGGGAGAATGGGAATAAAATGTTCAAATGAGAAAGAAAACAAAATGGGGAAGGGAGAAAGGAAAGAAGGGTCAAGGAAAAAAATAAAGAGGAAAAAATGGAATCAAAGCTTTTATAAATAAGGGGAGGAATAGGGTAGAAGGGGAGGGGAGGAATTGGATAAAAAGCAGCAAGGTAGATTATGTATCTTCCCTATGATACACAGGGACAAATTCCCTATGATGAACATTATCATGTATATCTTTTTTTTTTTTTTTTTTTTTTTGGTATCGGGGATTGATCTCACAAGCTCGTGCTTGCTAGGCAGGCACTTATTCCACTGAGCTAAATACCAGGCCCCCTACCATGTATATCTAAAATGTACTAATAAAATAAAAAAATTTTTTAAAAGTATGGAGATTGCAAGTAAAACTACTTACAAAATTACTAATAACAAGTCTCTAAAATAGCTAGTCTATAAAATAGTCTATAAAATAGCAGGAAAAATAGCTATTCTTATCAGCCAAAGAAGAGAATATCATTAATTCATAGGACATGATGGTTTAACAGGATTTTGCCATGTATAGATAGACTGATTAATCCTTTGTCTATAAAAGTTTAAGATCTGAAAGGACCAAACTTTCTAAGAATAGCCACATTCTACAAGAGTCAACAGAAACTGAAAAGAACATGATACCATCTAGCACCCAAGTAAAATTCACAATGTCTAGTATCCCATAAAATATGCATAAAATAAGCATGCAAAGACACGCAGGACTATTTGGTGCATAATGAGATAAGTCAGTGTCTTTAAAATGAATCATGAAATGACAGAATAATAGAACTAGTAAATAAGGATATCAAAATAGTTATTGGAATGGTATTTCCCATGTTTAAGAAAATAAGGCTTGAAAATTGTGGATATATAAGAGATCCAAACTGAATTTCTAGAAATAGAAACCATAATGTCTGAGATGAAAAATATAGCAGATTGTGTTTACTGCAGATTAGATACTGGAGAAAAGTTTAGTGCACTTGACATAGAAAACAGAAATTATGCGAAAGGCAGAAAAAAGACAAATAAAACAATGAGCAGAACATCATTTATTCTCTTGTAAGATAACTTGAGGAAGAATATTATATCTAACTGGATCTCCCAAAGAAAAGAGGAAAGATAGGATATAAAAAAGAACAAATCAAAAACTGTTTATTTTTTAAAAGCCTAAGGTCAATGAAGTCACATACATACGAAGTCCAGCAAGAGCAAGCATAAGAAATGTGAAGAGAACCACATCACCAGAATGCCTAAGTCAATACTGAAAGGAAAATCTTAAAAGTATCTAAAAAAGAAGGCATATTACTTATAGAGGAACAAAGATAAGGATGAGAACAGTATATTGGCAGGAACAATGTAACCTAGAAGAGGATGAGAAACATCTTTCAAGAACTTATAGAAGGAAGGCAGTGGCCAACTCAACCTTTAACTCTTTATCTACGGAAAATACCTTTCCAAAAAATAAGGACTCAAACATGCTCACATTTGTTACGTGAGCAGCAGTATTATTCATGATGGTTTAAGGTGGAAAAACCCAAATGATTATTCATGAATGAATAAATGATGGTAAATATAAGCAATGGAATGTTATTTAGCTATAAAATCAGATGAAGTCTACGGGTATATGCTACAATATGAATGTATAGTAAAAAGAGAATGCTCAGAGAGCTGGGCCTGGGGATACACCCCTGTGATTTCAGCACTCAGGAGGCTAAGGCAGGAAGATTGCCATACTGGGCTACATGGTGAGGCCAAGGCTAGCCTAGACTACATAGTGAGACCCTGTCTCTCTAAAACAGAATCCCAGGGAAAGAAGACACAAAAGAGTATGTATTGTGTGATTCCATTTATACAAAATATCCAAAAATAAGTAATCCAATAGACACTAAACAAGTTGACAGCTGCAGGACAAAGGACAATGGGAATGAACTCCTTAATGGGTAGAAGGTTTCACTATGGGGAGATACGATTGTTTTGGAGGCAGGAGGATCACAAGTTTGAGCCCAATATGGGCAATTTAGCAAGACCTTGTTTTTAAAAAAATAAAGGAAGGTCTGGGAATGTAGCTCAGGACAAAGGCCCTAGGTTCAATTTCTAGTACCTTTCCCTCCAAAAAAGGGTGAAAAATGTTTCTAGAGTAAGACAGTGGTGGTCACTGCACAACATTGTGAATGGATGCCAAATGACTTACTTTAAAATGGCTAATACGTTATGTACATTTTACCTTAGGAAAATAATAGAAAAAAATAAAGCATAAGAAACATGAAAAACAGACAGCTGGGAGGAGGGGTACACATCCCTAATTCCAGCACTTGGGAGACTCAGGCAGGAGAATCCCCATGAATTCAAGGGTAGCCTGGGTTACACAGTGAGCTGCCATACAAAGAAGTGCAGAATACCAGATACTGTAATTATTTTGCTCACTTTAATATTTCTCTTTATCATACTGTCAATTATTCAATAATAACAATATATTGTGGAAGTTTACACATGTATAAATAAAATATGACAATAAAATACCAGCTCATTTTTTGTTTTTTGACACAGGTCTCACCATGTAGTACAGGCCAACCTTGAACTTGCAACGTTCCCTCTACCTCAGGCTCCACGCCCCACTGGGCTATATACCCATACTGCATTCCCATATTATCTAGGGCAAGCACTGTAATGAGAAAACAACAAACAACAATGAGATAAAATGAGATGATAAAAAATGCTTCCTGTAAAGAAGGCAGAAAAAGAAAAAAGGAAACAAAGAATAAGTGAAACAAATGAAAATAAAAAAGAAGACGACATTTTTAAATTTTATTTCATAGTACTGTGGACTGAACTCAGTTTCTTGGCTGAGCTACATCCCAGCCCCCCTTTTTTATTTTTCAGTTTGAGAAAAGGGTCTTGCTAAATCACCAAACTGCTGGGACTGGGCTTGTACTTTTAATTTTCCTGTCTCAGCCTCCTGAGTGCTGGGATTACAGGCATGCATCACCACACCAGGCAAAGATACTTCAGATACAACATGAAAAATATAATCCATAAGGAATAAAACTATAGGCTGTCCTTAATAAAAACATTTCTTCGAAGACACATTGTCTTTCTCTCTCTCCTTCTTTATTTTTATTTTTTGTTTGGAGACAGGGTCTTGCTATGTATTGCAGCCTGGCCTTGAGCTGGCCTACAACTCACAGAGATCCTCCTGACTCAGGTTCCTATGTGCTGGGACTATAGGTATGTATCACTCCATCCAGCAAAAAAGTCTTTAAAATTTTTTTAAAAATTTTTATTTTTATGTTTTTGATGCAGAGTCTTGCTATGTAGTTCAGGCTGGCCTTTAACTCACTATGTAGCCCCAGGCTTTCCTTGAATTCATGACTATCCTCTTGCTTCAGCCTCCCAAGTGCTGGAATTACAGACGTGCACCACCACATATGGCCTCAAAAAACATTCTTAAGAGATGGAAAGACAAGCCACAAAAGAGGAGAAAAGGTCTGCAAATCACATATCTGATGAAGGATCTGAATGTAGAACTTATAAATAATGTTCAAAACTCAATTATAAGAGGACATTTTGATAAAATGGACAAAACTGTGAATAGATACTTCCCTAGAGAAGATAAGTGAAAGGAGAAAGAACCACAAATGAAATCTCAGTATCATTAGTCATTTGGGAAATGCAAATGAAGAACCATAGTGAGATGCTACTTTACATCTCCTACTAGAATGAATGAAATTAAGAGGTCTGGCTATATCAAGACAAGAAGTGGGAGCACTGGAATTTTCATACATTATTGGTAGAAATATGAAATGGCACTAATAGCTTGGAAAAGAGTTTAGCAATTTCTTAATATGTTAAATAAACACCTATCATAAGATCTTGCTATTCTAATTTCAGATATTTGCCTAAAGAAAAACTAAAGCATATGTTCATACAAAGGCTTGACCAGGGATATCTGTATCACCTTTGTTTGGCTGGAAATGACTCAAGTGTCATCAACAATAATATATAAACTGTGGTACAGTTATGCAGCATAATATTACTCAGAAATGGAAGGAAATGAGCTATGGATAAATTTTGAAATAGAATGAAGACAGATTGAAAAGAAAGAGCCTACAAAATGTATTAGGGTTAGACCTAAAACGTTCCCCAAAGCGTCGTAGATCCAGGGATGGGCGTTATGCTTATAGTAGATTAATTCACCAATACGTTCATGGCTGAAGGTGCTACTGGGAGTGGGGTCTGGTGGAGGAAGCTTGCATTGAGGCAGAAAATGAAAGGGTGTTTTCCCTGCTTTTTGGTTGTCATGGGTTGAACATGCCCCCTGCCATGACACTTCTGCTTTGGAGCCATCCAACCATAGCCTGAATCTGCTTGGAAATGTGAAACAAAGTGTGGGTATGGGTTACTGTGTTGAAGAGACAGGAAAGAGACTAATACTCAGTATGTGTGTTACGGGAAAGCTAGGAAATACAGACTAAAAGAAAGCAAATCAGTAGTCACTTGGGAGCTAGGATGGGAGGGTCAGGAAGACGAGATTTCAAATGGACACAGGAAATCTTGGGGAGTGTATATGTTCAGTATGTGCACTTGGTAATAATTTCATGGGTACATACATATGTCTACAGTTATACTGTGTACTTTATATACACAGTTTAGGGTATATTGATTATGTCCCCAAAACCTGCCAAAAAAGGAAGTACTGTTTCATTTTGAGTATTAGTTAGCATTTTCATTTTGGCAACTCATTTATGCATAATCCCTGTCATTATCTAAACAGCATATAATTATGCAGTAATTCTAACATTAGTTATGTGTGTATCTGTATTACGTCTCAGAATGTCCAAATTTATTTAAATATTCAATCTATTTCAAAGCACAGATCCTGAGACAATTTTAATCTATTTTATAGGCATCTGTCATGAATAGTTTATTGTTGCAACAGCAATATAATACCATCATCTTTGGACTAACTAGTCTATATAATTATTTTTGATTTTAGCAATATATTTTTGAGGCAGAAAGAAGTAAAATCCAAGGCATACTCCAAATTAAATATTTCATTTTCAAGGAGATAATACAGAAACCATTGTTCATTTTCTGTTAGTTGGTTCTAAATACCCCATAATACTGTCATTCTCTTGAATGGTTTTACATTGTTTTGATAGGTTTGATGCTACAGCATCCGAAGTTACTCAAAGATTTCAAGGAAAGAGACATAATGGTAACTACTTTTATGTCGGGATATCTTGCGGTGAAACACTTAAATGGCTATGTTCTGACCTGTGCTGTTTTGTTGTTACGTCCTCTTTTATCTCAATCTCCTTTTTTTATTATTTATTTTTATCTTTTTAATTAAGGGAAAAAATAGCAGGATATATTATAGTAATCCACTTTGATTTCCTATTAACTTGATTTGAAACCCTGTATTGCTCTCACCATCTTGTTTTGACTGATTTTCCTCTATTCTGTTTTGCTTGATAGTACCAAGTTCGAAAGTATAGGCAACAACTGTGAAGACAATAAGATTCACTATGATGCCCATTCTGGTTTGACTATTATCTTCTTTTGAAGTCCTGTAATATCTCCATTTTTTTGGTTTTTATTGGTTTTTTTCTTTACTGTTTTGTTCAATTTTATTATAACTGATGATATAGGCAATTCTTTTTAAGATAGCAAGAGGTATTATGGTAACCATTGTTGATCACCTTGTATTCTGTTTTTACATTATGTACTATGTCCACCCTTTTGATTTAACTGACTCTGTTTTGTCACATTTCGTTTTATTCTCTTAAAAAAAAAGTAATAAGAACTGTGGGAGTAATAAAACCCAAAATGTGTAATTGTCATTGTATAAAAGAGGAAAAGAAAGTGCTCTAAAGGATATAATTGCATGTATATTTAACTGTATAAGATAGATAACCATATTACTGAGTTTTTGTTGGATCATTGAACAGAACTGTTTACAGTCTCACTGTTTGAATGTTCACTTTATATGCTTTAATTTTGTAACTTGAACAACTATTTCTAAGATGATAATATGTAATCTATTAACTAGTAATTTCCTACTGTTTATTTTTTTTTTTGAGACAGAGTTGCTACATAGACCAGGATGGTCTTGAATTTGTTATTAGCCCAGGCTAACCTCAAACTCATGAGTGTTGGGATTACAAGTATGTACCACCATGTCTGGCTGTCACATTTTCAAACTTATACAAAAACACAAAGCTGAGTAATAAACTTATATATAAAGACATCTAACTTCAAACATTAGCAACATTTTGTGACTTCTGTTTTATCTATTGATAAAAATGTCATAGAATTTTTTTTTCTTTATTTCCTTCTGTAACAATAAGTTTGCCTCTAGATGTCCCCCAAAGCCTCATGTGGTTATGGCAGGGGAATGGGCCTTTTGAAAGTGGCTGAATCTGGTGTTTGTGATTGGTTTGTTGTCTAGCCCTTGGATTGGCAGAATGAGTCCTACACCCATCCAGGGGCAGTACAAGGGAGGAAGGAGGCATGCTTCTCCTTCTTGCTGTTGTTGTCTTTGGTATCTGCTGCTGTCATGAATGGTTGCCCCTGTGCCATGCCACAGCTGCCTTGGAGCCAGCTGAGTATGGACTGAAATCTCCAAAAACTATAAGCTAAATAAACCTTTCCTTAATTTTGGGCATCAGTATTTTGTCTTGGCAACAAGAGAACAGTAACCAAGATACCTCTCCCCCGCTTTTTTTTGTTGTGTTTGTATGTGGTACTGGGAACTGAACTCAGGGCCTTTGCATTGAGCTATATCCTCAACCTTTAAAATTTTTTTTTATTTCAAGGAAAGGTCTTAGATAGTAAGTACTCAGGCTAAGTTGGAACTTGTGACTCTCCTGCCTTAGCCTTTCAAAAAGCTGAGCTTATAGATGTGTTACACAAGACCTGGCTCCTATGGAATGTTTCAAGGCAAGTTCCAGCCATCATACTAATTTTGCATCACAAACATTTTAGTATTTAAAGTTTTTCCTAAACATAAGCCACAACTTATTTTAAAATTGCTTCATATAAAGTTAGTCAACTGTGAATACTCTCAATTTCTTATTTTTTTCTCCTAATGTGAAGTGTATGCACTTTTAGAAATTCTTATTTGAATTATCTGAAGCACTCAGGGAGGCACATAACTTTTTGAAAAAAGTAATATAAAGATGTATAAATATGCAAGCATGTATTTAATATTTTATTTTTAAAAAGAATACTTTGATAGATTATACAATCAAAACCAATATGAGATATCTATACTAGCAAGCAAAAGCTTATTTAGGGGAAATGTTTTTGGAGGGAGTAACAGGGTCCTGTTAGTCTGTTCAGGCTGGGCTTGAACTCATGACCCTGCAGTCTCAGCTTTTAGGGAGCTAGGACTACTAGTACTGCACCTGCCCAAAGGTTAATTTGCTTCAGTAATTATTCAATTATTCATCTTTCTAGTATTGTGCTGGAGTTAAGCTTATAGTAACTTGTGAGACCTAACTGATAAATTCTTTTTATCAGTGTCAAAGACAGTATCACTGTCTTTTTAAGACAGTGTCTTGGTATGTCATTCAGTGTGGCCTTAAACTCACTATGTAGACTAGGCTGATCTTGAACTCATGGTGATCCTCTTGTCTCAGCCTCTTAAGTACTAGGATTATGGGTATGTATCATCATTTTTAGTAATATTGTGAGTTGGCTGTGAAGTGCAGCTATAATTAAAAATTAAAATAAATTCATTTATTTTTTAAATTTTAAGTTTTTTTTTTTGTACCAGGATCGAAAATGTCATGACCTTGTGCTTGCCAGGCAGGTGCCTATGCTGCTGAGCTAAATCCCTGGCCTAAATTAAATTTACAATAAAATCAATTTTATTAAAACCAAGGGAACAAATCCTCAAAAACTTATCAATGTTGAATTATTTTATTATATCCTAGAGAGAAACGAGTTCTGAGTTTACAAATGCCTACTTTATGTGGTGCAAACATGGGTAATGGTATGCTGATGACAATGTTTGCTCTTATCCATGGTTAGTGACATTATGGTGGCAGTTTATATTAGTTACACGCCACAGATACAAGCAAATACTACAAATGAGAGTCCTCTTTCACATTACTTTTGGAAAGCTGATTGTTAGCGTGAGTTAGTACCCTGCGGTCTCCACCCTGACTAGTGATTATTGTACCAGGCACTGTACTAATATAAAATACTTGTTTCCTAAAAAAATTTAGGATAGAAATCCTCTTAATATCATAGTATTAAAAGTGCTTTAACAGATGATATTCTTTTTTTTTTTGGTACCAGGGATTGAACTCATGACTTCACATTTGCCAGGCAGGTGCTTACACTGCTGAGCTAAACCCCTAGCCCAATGATATTTTAAAGACAAATATGAATAGGTCCTTAGGCAAACAAGGAATACATGGTATGTATTAATATTTTAAAAAATCCATTAAATATGAATTGCTTTAAAGTTTTAAAATATTACTATAGTACCTATTACTACTATCCTAGTATCCTGTACCAATGTTACTATATTGTCTTGATTGGCTTTGTTCTCTCTTGTTCTGTTGTATTTTTACTACATTCAAAATAAAATTTAAAAAAAAGTTTAAAAATATTAACAAAGAAAAACTTAATTATCTGAACATCAGAAAATAAAAGGAATAATGAGGTGGTAGCTTGCATGCACTGTAATTGTTTCATGGGCTAAATTTCAAAACAAAAATGAATACTGACTTAATAAGGGTATTAAAATGCTATGTAAAATGTAAGGATATTCTTTAAATAATATAAGGGTAAGAAAAACAGCAAATATGAAACTGATTCTCTAGTGTAAACTAAGTTAAAAATGTTTAATAAGTGATTTTCCACTAAACAAAAATAAAAGGTAAATATACTTAAAAAGTGAGGTATCAGTTAAAAAACTCCAAAATCTGCCAAACTTATTCTGACAGCTGATAGTTTCAGAAATCAAAGCTTTGACTAGCTGCATTTACACTTAGTCTGAGGACTTAATCTCACTTTGGTTCTTAATTTTTCCAAACACTGTAAATTGTTTATACAACCTTAACATTTAGTTAAGTTTCATAAACTGTGAAATCATTTTGTACTCGCAAACAGGTTTTCTGAAAAAAAAAAAAAAAAAAACAACTCATAAAATAAAGGAGTTACAAAGAATGAAAATGAACACTGTGTTTCCTTATATACCCTTCTTCTGTTTAAATTATTTACCTCTTGTGAAAGCTGTGTTACTTGGTCTTTTTGATGTTCCAGATCTTTTAAAATCAATGAGTTTTGTTTTTCTAACTGAAGCACTCTTCTTGCCAAGTGGACACTAAGTGAATAAAATGAGAAAATTAATGCTTACAAAAGTGGAATGCTATCTAAAATACTTTGTGCTTGAGAACTGACATTTCTCAATAACATTTAAATATTAACAGAAAAAAGATGGAACCAAATAATTAATAGTGGAGACCAACAATCCAACAATTCAGAATCCTGAAAGTAACATTAAAATCTCCATAACATAACCCTGATACACTGATTACTATGCTAATGGTTTCTAGCTCTTGCTATAAAAGTGAACAGCTACATTATACTTCCTTGAAAAGACCACAACATAGCAATTTACAGCTCTTCTTCATTTTTGTAAAAAAGTTCTCAATTACAAACAAATCAAGAAATTAGTTGAGATATTATGAACAATAAGACTGCACTTTCACCAGCAGCCATTTATCTCAGACACCATAATCCATTTTATAATACAAAATACAACTCAGTAGATTTTCTGTTGAAAGTAGAGGTGGAGAAAACATAAAAGTTGGAGAATGTCCATAGTAAAAGAAAAGACCCTGTACTAAAGGAAATCATCCCTCTGATGATTTGTATTATCACATTTTTTGTATTGACCTTTGGTGTTTAAAATCACATTAAATGTGAAATGCCCCAATTCCATTTTTAAGATACGATTTGAAAAAATGTTTATTTAGATCTAATCTTCCATCCTTTCAACTGACATAGCATTATACCTTACAAATCAGTTGAAGTTAGAATAGAAAAAGACATGCCTTTTTAATTACTTTTTATTTTATTTTTGTGGTACCAGGAATCAAACTCAGGACCACGCACTTGGCCAGGAAGGTGCTATGCCGCTGAGTTATATCACTGGGCTCCCCTTTTAATTTTAGAGACAGGGTCTTGTTGTGTAACTCAGGCTGGCCTTGAACTCACTAGAGAGTCCAAACTGACCTTGAACTCAAGGCAGTCCTCTTGCCTCAGCCTCCCTAATGCTGGAATTATAGTCATTACACCACCATTCCCAGCAATGACTATTTTATTTTATTTTTGAATATGCAATGGCTGTTTATTCACTTAATATGCACTTACAGAATTTTATTTGTCATTATTTTTATTGGTAATTTTAGATATACACAATGATAAAATTCATCAAAGAGAATTTGTCACTGAACAAGACGTATCTTGTTTCTTCTTTTTTTTCCCTATTTTCCTCTACACCCTTCAACTCATTGTCTCCTCCTTCTTATAAAACCTGTTTCTACTTTTTCCTTCTATTCTCTTTTCTTTCTTATGCATTCTTTTCTTCCTCCTCTCCCCTCCCTTATTTCCCTTCTCATTTGAAGGACCAAAATGTATAATAGATATTGGTCAATGGCAAGGAAATGTTCAAACCATTCTCTTTTAAAAACTTTTAAAGGTTTATTGATACTTAATTTTTCGGTATATAATTTTATTGACATGCAACTAACCTACAACAAACACTCAATTAAAGCATACAATTCAACAACTTTCAGTATATTTAAAGTTGTGCAATTATCACTATAATCTAGTTGTAGAACATTTTCATTACCCTCCAAAGAAATTCTATGTCCACTAGCCGTTACTCTCCATCCTCCTCGCTTTCTCTTTACAAGCCTTCTCATCTCCTAGCCCCACTGGCTTTAGGGAACCACTAACTTAATACAGATTTTTTTTTTTTTTGTCTTTTTCAGACACGGTCTTGCTATGCAGTTCAGGCTGGTCTTGAACTTGCAATGATCCTCCTATCTCACCCCCCCCCAAGTGCTAGGATTACAGGCATGTGCCATCATACCCAGCTTTCTTTATAGTTTTTCAGCATTTATATGGGTATCCTGCTTTTTATTCTCCAATGAAAATATAGCAAGACTCTCTAATTCAACTTGAATATCAAGATCTTTACCAACAAAACAAATCTTAATGCTAATTAATTTTGTGTTATGTTTACATCGAAAATCTGTTGATTCTAGTAAGTGTTTGGAAACACTGGTATTTTATATCAGTAGTTCTGTTTTTCATTAGGTTAATTTTAAAAATGTGAAGGTATCTTCTGTCACATTTTCATTCTTATTTTCACCCTTCATGAGACAGGTGCAAGTTTTTGTTCATATTTTTGTCTCCCATGTAACTTAGCAGTAGAGTCTTTTGTATGCAGTAATTTCTCAAAAAGCATCTGTTGAAGGTATAAACCATTATTTGTGTAATATTCAATACAGAACAATGAACACAATCAAATGCAACTATACAATGAACACAATCAAATACAACTATACAAAATAGTTACAGATGAGATGGAAATTTTATGCAAATAAAATTTTGTATTTTTTTCAAAGAGAAGCAAGAAATAATGAGATACAAAGGTCACCCATGACTAACAATGTGAAGATAATGACTTAAAGACATTAAGTTTAGTAATGTTAAATTGCTCATTTACTTTGGGCATTTTTTATTTTGTTTGGGAATTGTATAATGCTCTTATGCAGATATGACAATACCATTTACCAATCAAAAATATCACATGATGCAAAACACTGGTTCAAAAAAATTCTAGTGCTTAAACTTTAAAACCAGGACTTCTTTCTTATCACAGTTAAAGAATTTCCCTTCTGTCATGATTGCTTTTTTTTTTTTTTTTTTTTTTTTTTTTAAAGACAGAGTCTTGCTATGTAATCTAGGCTGCTCTGAACTTACTTAGCTCTAGGTGGCCTCAAACTTGTGATTCTCCTGCCTCAGCTACCTGCGTGCTAACACACCTGAGTTCTTACTATGTCTTAAGTGTGCTCTACACTGTTTTGGTTACTAGCTTATAGCATAATTTTATTTAAAAAGTTTCTAGGAACTGATGCTGGCAGAATGGACAGTGACTATTATGCGATTTAGGATACATGGATGACACTGTAACACTGCACTCCAATACAATTTTAAAAAGCTCACTTGTAGAGCCAACCAAATGTATTTCTTCACACATATATCAAAAATGGCATAAAGGTTTCCAGGTTTCCCTAAAAGATCCATTTAGTATATTAATGCAATATTATATCCAAATAGAAAAAAGGGCAAGAATAATTGAGTCTGGGGGAACTCTCTTCGTCGCCTGAGTACCAGCCCACGGTTTCCTGCTGGAACCAGCAAGTCACTTAGGCACAGAATCCCGCCTCAATCTGGGGGAACACCCTTCCTCGCCTGGGGGCCAGGCCGCGGTTCCCTGCCAGGCCCAGCGAGTGGGGCCACGGTGCGGAACCCGGTCCCAGTCCAGGGGAACTGTCTCCCTCACTTGGAACAACACTTGAAGCTCGAAAATATAGGAAAATGACAAAACGAAAGACCAAAATGCAACATCAAACATCCAGCCCATCCCATGAAAGCCTAGGAACCACGTATATAGAAGAAAACACATGCCACATACCTGAAATACCTGAAATAATAGTAACTGAAATAAAGAAGCAACTCTGGGAAGCCTTAAAGGAATTTAAACTAGAAATAATCTGTCAGGTAAAAGAAGAAATGATAAAAGAAATGAAGGAGATGCTGAACATATCTAAAGACACAGTTAAAAAATTGGAGGACCTAAACAAAAAGATAGAATGCCTGGATGAACAATATAAGAAACGAATAGAATACATAAAGCAGATGCAAAGAGATATACAGGAAATCAAAAACTCCATTGAAAGTTGTAAAAACCACCTCAATGAATGTGAAGATAGAATCTCAGACCTCGAAGACAAGATTGCAGCCAGTGAACAGGAAAGGAAAGATCTTTTAAAAATAACAAGAAATCAGGAAATAACAATTCAACACCTGCAAGATGATGCAAAGAGGAACAACATAAGGTTGATAGGGATAAATGAAAAAGAAGGGGACAACATAAAGGATATCAAGAGGATATTTAGAGAAGTAATAGCTGAAAATTTCCCAAACATGAAATTGGAAACTGATATCAAGATCAACGAAGCATACAGAACTCCAAATAGCCATAAACAAAATAAATCTACACCCAGACATATAATGACCATCTCAGGTATTGAACAAAAAAATAGAATATTAAAAACTGTCAGAGAGAAAAGACAGATGACCTATAAAGGAAAACTATCAGAATCACAGCACACTTCTCAGCACAAACAATAAAGTCAAGAAGAGCATGGAGTGAAGTATTTCAGATCCTAAAGGAAAATGATTTCCAACCTAGGTTGATGTACCCTGCAAAACTGTCCTTCAAAATCGATGGAGAAATAAGATACTTCCATGACAAAGAACAGCTGAAAAACTTCATGATCACCAAGCCAACCCTGCAAAGAATACTGAAAGACAGCCTAGATACATTTAGGAAAAAAAGCACTAAACAAAGCAGACAATTAAACAGAGCAGAAAGATAAATATGCAACAGCAGAAAGACAACATGTCAACAACAAACCAATATATAACAGTTCTAACCATTAATGTAAATGGTCTCAATGCACCAATTAAAAGAAACAGACTGGCAGAATGGATCAAGAAACAAAATCCAACCATATGCTGTCTACAAAAAAAACCATCTAACCCAAAAGGATACTCACATACTAAAAGTCAAAGGATGGAAAACAATACTTCATGCAACAGTAACCCCCAAAAAAGTGGGGGTAGTTATTCTGTTTGCAAACAATCTGAATTTCAAGCCAATAATGATCAGAAGGGATAAAGAAGATCACTACATACTGGTTAGGGGAAAACTCCAAGAGGAAGAGATAACTATCTTAAACATATATGCACCAAACTCCAGAGCACCAGTTACATAAAACAAGCACTAACAGAAATGAAAAACTAAATTAGCAGTAAAATAATTCTTTTATTTTTTTTTTTTTTAGCAGTAACATAATTCTAACAGGAGATCTTAACACACTATTGACACCAATGGACAGCTCAACCAGACAGAAAGTCAGCAAAGAAATAAAAGATCTGAATCGCACCTGTGAACAAATGGACTTAATAGACATATACAGAGTATACAACCCAACAACAACAGAATACACATTCTTCTCAGCA